GGAGTCCAGCCATCAGGCCGAGCTGATTTGATGAGATAGAAGCAATCTACGAAGCGGTGATATTCTCCGCAGACACACATAGGAACACCATCAGCGTTCTTGCTTGAAGACCACTTAGGCTTGTCCTCTTCCTCTCCGATTTCTCTTGCCTTGGAAGGCAGCTCCGAATGATCCTTTGCTGTTGTTGGCGGCCTTGATTCGGTGAGCTCGTTCAAAGATCTCACTGATCTTAATGCCGTCCGGGAAGTCCGTCTTCCAATCAGGCTTGCCGAATACGGCCTCGTCTTCCATTTTGTTGACCCAATAGTCTGTGAATGGGGCGTTGATGGACGAAACAGCCTGTAGGAAATCTTGGGTAGGGCGAAGGTCCTGGACATCAGGAAGCCCTAATTGCTTTGCCTCAGTGAGGACTTTCTGCCATTGGGTGACCCAAGCTTCGATCTTGGTCCTGTTTGGCGACTGAAGGGTGGAACGATAACGCTGAACAACTTCCTCTCGAGTGCCCAGTCGGTTGGGGCCACACGAGCCTGAAGCAAGGCAAGTTGCTTTGCAACGTCGTGTTCCTCGGCAATGGTGCTGTAGTAGTTGCCGATGGTCTTGACGATGTGTTGTTGAAGGCTGGCGAGTGCCTTCACTTGATCCCTATACCCTTGAAGCTTCGAGCGGTATTGGGTGTGGAGGAATTCGAGACGGCGAAATTCCTCCGAGGTCAGATCCACGAGATCAGATGCTTCGTGGTTGATTTGTCGGAATGTTGGTTCAACTGGCTGCTGAAGAACCGGCTTACCCTCCTTGACGGCAGGGTCCAGAAAGTCCCAAAGACTGTGGACGTGGCGAATTTCTTGATGATAGAAATCCATTGTTTCCAGTCGCAAGGGCCGTTGAGCACGGTGCCCTTGGAAGAGCCATCAAGATCTAGAGCTGAGCTCATTGTGGAAGCTATTCTGCGCAGCGGAGTGAACAAGAATAAGATACCCAGTCAGTGGCAGACCGGGCTCATAACTATCGCACGGAGGATGAGCAAGTGGGCATAAAGATCAGGGACTGGAAGACTCTTGATTCTGCTATCTAAGGTGGGAAAGAGGCGAGATCTTTATAGACTGCCTGAATATGAGAATGGAAGGGAATGGTAGTGAATGGAAGCATCTGATCGGATCATCTGGAAGCCACTGATGCGTTGATGATGCCTCCTAGAAGTTTCTGTGGGAAATGTGAAACGGACTGTGCGAATAGGGGTCAGACTGTTGGAGGCTGATATCCTATGTGTGACAGGGGAAATCGAGCGAAAAAGGTCAAGCAGGGATGTCGTCTCGTATGCTTGTGATGGATAATACGAGATCGAGCCTGGATTGTTTGCTAAGCAAGCTGATAGGAGCTTCCAGTCGCGATCGATTAAAGTCTCGTCGTTAATGGCTCTGCGAATAATCTGTTGAATCATGTCGGAATGTGACGGGAATTGCTTGGCTGGTTCGGAAAAGAAACAGTGTGTAACCTTCCGTACAAGACTAGGATATCCTACGTGATACTTCTTTACAGGCAATCCTTTATTATCGATGATTCTAAAGGACGCACAATAAAAGTTCACCGTTAGATCGAAGGGCTGGAGCATTGATCGCTTTCTTGTTGCCTGCGCACTCAGAGCGATGGGTGTTGCCCTCGTTCGTGGCCGTAACGAGTTGACGTAATCCATTTGTAGACTTTATAGCTGGGACTGTCATCGCAGGAGCTATCTGTCGTTCTGTTTGACTATCGTCGGAAGTGAGATCGATCGTCTGCGCGTCATGGTCGTTGGATCTCGAGCTTTGTATATTCGTCCGGACGGGAACTTGTCGAGACTGTCGGGTAAGGAGATTTCCGCAATAAAGACAGACTGTCCATAATGGTTGACTAAGGGATACTGCCCGATGGGAGTATCCCGTCGCCGTACAAGTATCATCAGCCATTGCCTCTTAATAAGTTAATGACGAAGAGGTGGTAGATGTGCGAAGTAAACGAATTTTTCTTCGTAATCTTAATGGAATACTTTTAGTTTCAAAGTGTGTAGAGCATAAATGCAGATAAGGAGTGGAGTTTATTTAGTCATCATTATATGAGTTGTGTACCATTATCTCAACCCATTCCTGGAATTTTCTCCCAATTATCTGCCACTGCCGAGGAGTAATTGACTGTAGGTCCTCGCTTTCTTGGGAATAGCTATAGTTCTCCTCTGTTTGATGATGACCTAAGACGATTATTAGTTGAATCTTTTCCCTTTCTTTTATAGGTAGAACTAGAGTGTTACAGTGTAGTTTGCATAGCGACCCACGAGATGAGTACGTGCAATTCGCGCATGCACCTGACCCTAGCATTTCCAGAGTGTAACAGCCTTGAAACACCCCATTCCCTTTATACACTGGACACAGGGAGCTTTCGGCTGATCACCGAATATAAATATCAAGGCGGCATCGAGATGTTGGCTTCGTGTAAGCTTAAGTCGATGCGAATGTGATATACCTTGCCTCGCCTTCGTATTGAGACATATAAAGCGTTTAGGGGCTGTAGATGCTAGCAATCTCTCGACCTTGGACGAACGGACTTGATACACCTTAGACAACGCCCATGATGTAAGTTCAATGCTAGTTATTGGTTGTTGTGCAGTAGGAGGAATTGATGGGAGGAGAATACTGTCAATCGTGATAGCTTGCATTTTTAATATTCGTCCACGCAAAATAAAGTAGGGGGAAGAAAGAAACGTGACTGTAAAGATCTGCTATAACTTCGTCGTATATGCAATTAACCCTGCTTCTGCTAAGCCGAATATTTAAAAATGGGCCATAACCCTCTATGGTCACAGTAGGGTATACGTAATGACAAATTTTCTTCCCAAATGCGTTTTGAGACAGTCTGGCCTACAGTCGCCCGTAGCTGGCTGGCTGTTGCTATCTGCTACAACGGCCGTGGTCTCGACGAAAGGAACAACCCCCGCTATCCTCTTCTAGCATGGGGAGTTTCGACTCCGGCCTGAAAGAGTAGACAACGTTGAAAAAACAGCGGAGAATGCAGCTGGCTACATCCTGCACGGTCGCGGTCTACACGAGTATCTGACATATATATACAGAATCACTAACGTATTTCAGGCTCCGTATACAAATTCACAGTCAACAGCTCCCGGGGGGACGTGGTCCCGTTCAAGAAATCAGTGGCAGGGATAACCAGCCCAGGCTTCCGAGGTAGAGACTCGCTCTAAGCCCTGGCCCTTGTACACGCCACGGCGGGTGGGTGATCCTGCGAAGATTTCATAGGGCAGTGGATGCGTCTCAAGGAAGCGCCGTGATGCTAGCGCTCTATATCATTGTCCATTGGTTGTCTCCCTTGTGCATGGCGGCCCACCATGTCCATGTCTCAAGCGACGATTTCATTTTTTTTAGAGTTTATGCATGTCTAAGGTCTTGGATCACGAGCGAGCGAGGCCTGAAACTACTGAGCCGTGGCGCACAGTTCTAGACTTTAAGAAACTTATACGAGCTTTGCCAGCAATATAAACGAGGGGTGAGGGTTGCCAGAAAAAAATGCGGCCGCAGGTCTCGACTCAAGGCGCGGAATGAAGCCAAAAGGTAGAACAAAGTTGGCAGTTTTCGATGGCCATGAGACGACGGATATATGGAGTAGAGTCGCCGTGGCATGACAATAGCAATAGAAGAGATCAGATTAGGGGGAAGATAGGAAGACAGACCTGGCTAGCTTTGGTTCATGTTCTCGGGCCATGGATGTTCGCGAACAGCAAGTATTCAATGGTATAAATGCCAACATGAGAAAATCTATACCGACCTGATCCTTAAACCCTTGTAGCCTTGAGACGCGTCTCCTCCAGCAAAGCAAGGTCCTCCGCCATCCTTGTTTCACTCTGTGCTGACCCTTAAAAATGTGGCTTGGAAACGCTCCTCGGGTTGCTCAACGATAGGCTAGACGCGCGAAAGTTGGATGACAGCTCAATGGGATATCTTGGTCGGGATGTTGTAAGGAAGGCCGCGACCAGAGAAGTGCTACCAAAACGAGGAGTGAGTCGGTTGAAAGACGAAACGTATTTGCCTTGTGTGAGAGTTCGCCAAAGCTCCAACAGACAGGAAGAGGTCGCTATGCGACTACAGGCTCAATTGAGACGCCAGATGAACTTATGTGACTCCTGGTTAGGGATTTGTGTTTGTAAACCTCCGACCAATTCACAAGATGGTAATAGTTTTATAGCCTCGCGACTTAGTGGCGTGTTATACTTCGATATCGACCAGAGCATGAGACGACGTTACCCAAGGGTCATGCGCGCCTAAAACCTGCGGTCGTTTCTTGTTTTAAAAAAAGTGTCAGTCTTCAGGCGTGGCTATAATGCAATTTGTCTTTTCTTATCCATCCTAGTATAACTTAGAGCCAGGATTCAACTTGATAATAACTATATTCGAGTCTGCTGCAAAATACTATACTATCTTTATTAAAAGTCTAAATAACTAGATTTTCGTATAAAATAATACCTTTAATTATAATATTCGCCTCTAATAACAATAAAATATCTAGCAATTTATACAACTATATTTACTTAGGGGTCCCTAATACTTTATATTATTTAATATAAGATACATACTATCCTCCTTCGATAGTTAGTCTATATACCAGCTGCTCTTCATCATAGCCAGCTTAGCAAAGGAAGCTGCCTATCGCGTCTTCCCGTACTTTAACGAGCCAATTATGACCAGCGAGGTTAGACGACCGCCACCTCTAACGGGTAAGTTCCGCTTCAATATCGCAAGGGGCACATGCCACTTCTTCATTTCGAAGTCCGGCATAGAATGCAGGGAAGCTTTAGGCTTTTCCGCCATCACGAAAGCCTAGGCATCCACAAACTGCCATATATATTTCTTGCGGAAGCGCGTCTCCATGATCGCTTCAGCGTCTTTATGCCACTTGCAGTCTATGAACTATTCCTCGTATATGACGATCTCCTTTTTATTGGGGGATAGCTTCGAACCCATCTATCCACCGAAAATGTCACCGTCGTTGGCGACGTAGGCCTGGATGTCTTCCAGCCACTTCTCGAGAGGTTCGCGAGTCTTCTTCGTGAGAATACGAATTGACCGCGTGTCAACAAAACGCTCTTCGTTCTTCCCGGAGAATGTGCAGCCGGGACCGCACGGTTCCTTTGCTGACACAGCGCGGAGCGTCAATCAGATGACCGTTGTCTCTGTGCTCGCCGCTTGCCTGTCGCTCCTCTCCGGACTCACTACCTCGTGTGGTCCTTGGTCGCCCTGCTCCCTGCGGTAAAACATGGCCCTTCGCCTCACGGCTGCGGGAAGTTTCGCAGTCATTGCCATCCATCCGGGGTCGGTGGCCGTCTCTAAAAGGCGTTTCCTCCTGCGAACACGCGTTGGCCTACTATCCTCTGCGGCTTTCACTTCTCTGGAAGGAAGCCATGGGTAATTAGCCGGGCACCGTGTGTGCACTCGGGCGGGTAGCGTATCACTCTCGTTCCCTCCATGCTTTGCTCGTTTCACTCGCTGAGTTCTGAGCCTGAACAGAGTAGACTACTTCTCAATTCATTGTCGTGTGTTCTGACTCTGTGCAGGGTGTGAGTAGAAGCATCACCGCTTCCGTGCCAAGAAAGCAGGACCGGTCTTGCCGCAGAACAGCGGGAACCGGGCCTCGTCTTCTCGTCCAATTGCCGCCCTCACGTCGTCCCATAGGTCGTATGGCAGTCTCTTGTCACCAAAGAGGATTCGGCCTTCTGTCTCTTGCAACGACTTGAGCCAAACTTCCGCGTCGTCCTCAAAGTCGTCCCTGCAGCACCTCAGGTGCCAAGCCCGGCTCTCGCCGCTGAGAAACAGGGGGTCCAACGGAATAGGGACAAAATTCTGTGCCTGTAGTGTGAAATTGGATGCATCCATTCTGACCAAGATGTCGTATACGCCCGAGGGCTTTAAGACACCACAGTGTCGAAACATTCGATCCTTCAATCGCAGCCGCAGCTCATCCAGTATTTCTGATGGCATCACCGTAGTTGACGGAACCCATAGAACAAAATACAATCGCTGGCACAATGTCTGTTCCCTCGAGGATTCACAGGTGACATGACCACAGCAAGAGCAGCCCGGACAGTCTGTCGCCCGGGAATCCAACTCGGCTGGAGATAGGACATCCATGATAACCACTTCCGTCGGAGCCACAATCGCTCCGTACGAAGATACCGGGGCGAAACGTACAGGCGGGCCAATTCTCGCGGATGGGTTGGCACGGGAGATTGAACGGCCTCGGCGCGCGTGTACGCCACGTTGCCTTCACAGGTCAGTTCTGATCTGGCTAGATATTTCCCTTCTCTAGATCAAATCGTTCAAAGGAACCTGCTTTTGCTCGTGTCAGTTTCTCTTTCTGCGTTTGCCTTTCGACAAATGTGTGAGGCGTAGGCGGTCAACCTTTCCGGTTGCGTGTGGCACTTAGCCGAGGTTCTATACAGTACTCGGTGGCTGTCTCCAGTGAGAGGTGTAAAAACAAGTCCGTGTTTCTCCCAGAGGAGGGAAGACGAGGTCTCACCTCTTATATACTACGTGCCTGTGCCTCTGTCCCATGGGTGCTCCCCACTTCTGTGCGGACACCTGCATGATGTTTGCATGAGCGGGACCCTGCAGCCACACGCACGGCCTTCATTCCCCCGTCATTCACGGTTCAGTCACCAGCCATCGTCCCTTCTGTCCGATTGGCTCTACAAACCGCAGCGCCCCTGCTCTGTTCCGGCGTGCCTACAGTACTGCCTAGTAACTGATGTCAACTGTCGTACGGGGAACCTTTATAGTTTATACCAAACATAGGGGCTCAGTCGCTCCCCTCACTGTCGTCCGCATCGCTTCCTCGCTGCAAGGGTCCCTTGTGTGTGCTCCTCTCGTCGCTGCCACAGTCACCCCCTCCGGTCGTTGTCAACACTCGTGCCCACTCGTGTTCTACTCGCTCCTGTTTGTGTGGTGCGTAGAGCAGATTCGACAGACGGAAGAATACGACCGTTCTATCGGCTAGCTGGCCTGGAAGGACAAGGCTGGCCGGAGCGGCAGGGCATCATGCCGCGACACACACTCAACTCGAGGACGAGGCAGAGTCACGCGTCACGGATGATATAACCCACCCTGGGTGCCTATATACTTCAATCTCGACGAGCGGAGCCATGGTCAGGCAGACTTAGACTTGGATTCTTACTTTTGAACGACGTGATACCCGAGGATCACCACGTTCAAAGTTCCAACACAAGAATGCACCTGCCGTTACACGTGCTCGCGTCCCCCTGACAAGAAAAACGCGTGGCCACAGCTGCTTCCGTAAGCAAAACAGAAACTGATGCGCGAGTTGTGACGGAACTGTTTTCTTAACGCGTTTCTGTTTCAAGTTGCTGTAATCGAGTGATTACGTCGTCATGGAGGATTGGAGAGATTGGTGCCCACGGGCTTGGAGCCCTGGCCTGGGACAAAGTGAGCTTACCCACCACTGGAGGTCCTCTTTAAGCATCAGCAGCCTGCCGAGGCGGAGATATGATTGTAAGAACTTCGAACTACTCGAAGTCTGCGGCCAACCCTACGTTAGGGCCAACCCTTATTGACCTCTTGAGGTTAAGAAGCCCTCTTTTCCGGGCTCGCTTTTCCGGGCCCTGAGTATTACTGGACAGTCACTGCTCGGTGATAGCGTGTAGCGAAGGGGAACGGTGCCTTAGTCGCGCGGCCCCAGGTTAGTATCGTCGGCCTGACTCTCGTCAGAACTCAGAAAATAGACTCCGTGACTGCAAGTTGCAGGTGAGAACCCGCTTCGGGGTGATAAGGAACGAAGGAAATAAGGAAATCTGCTTTCGATTTCGACAGAAGGGCGGACCTATAATATATATATATATATATATATATTATAGAGCCATATTGGCTGCAAAGTGTCACGTTGGACGGACGTCCAACAGTGGATATGCTCGAGTAAATGCTGCACCCTTGGATGGACTCCGTCCGTCATCTAGCCAAATCATTGGCATGCATGATTCTCTGTATTAGTGCCAGGCCACAAAAATGTTGCGGTGACTGAACTACACGACGCTGAACTTATTTATCAAACCACATATCAACTAGTTGCCACATGCTTGCCATGTCATTCTTGGGACCTAGTTTAATTACCTCTTAATACGATTAAATTTGAAATTTTCAGAATCATGATACAGCACTGAGCACACATCAGACAGAGCTTAACTACAACAGCAAGCATGGTGAGCAAACAGTACCGGGAAAGACCGAACGGGAAAGCCCACGCAGTAATTCAACCCATCTCGCCTTAGATGACATGCTTTCGCGGCGGTGTCATTCCAAGGCCGAACAGGCTGGTGCCGTCCAACAGCCGACATGGAGTCAGCCCCGCATTCAGCTCACAGCTTCATACTGGGTTGGGCTAAGCGCTGACTGCAGCTCAATAGACGGCTGAGCCGTTTTATATCCGCTAAAGTATATCCCCGCTCAGTGAGCCGAACTTTGGTTCAAATTGCAAAGTAGGATAGCGCTTAATGAGCGTGTCGGGATTCTTGGTCCCGAAGTGCCCCTGTCGTTTATGCTTGCTTCCGATTCGGCCGGTGCCTGGAACTTGGGAGCGAGCCAGTTGAATCGGCCACCGAGGAGTCTATAAGACAGTAAGTTCTCGCCGCATACGAACGGACCGTTTTGGTTTAGTCTTGGCTGCTACTCACGCGACGATGGGAGAGGTAGGCAACTCGGCGCCTGGTTCCCCGCGAGAAGACGCGACAATGATGCCGAAATAGATGGCCCAAGAATATAAAGCATTGGACGAGTCTCAGAATTGTGCTTGGAAGTGCGAAGTATTCACCTCCGCTCCATGTGGAGCTAATAAATATCCGAGTCTAAGTCGAGCAAGATAAACACACATTCGATTGCGTCTCTTCCTGGGCTTTCTGCTTTGTTTCCGCTACTCTCGAACATTATAGTGCCCTCTGCAGCCGTACTCTGTACACTATGGCTTCCAACTCCAGCTTCCAGCTATACCCTCTCAACAGAGATCCCATCTTCGACTTGGGCCTTCTGCGCGTCCTGTCGCTTAGCGTCTACGATGGCGGTGACATCAACGATGTGCTCATGGCCGCTAGCAGCATCATCCCAGGGGACTTTAACAGCTATGCTGGCACCTTTACCCGCCTAGCCAGCCGCGTCTTTGAGCGTGCAAAGACGGTGGTGGAAAGTGGCTTCCCCTTTTCCGCCCGAACAGCCTTCTTCAGCGCCGCGACTTACTTCCGCTCTGCTGAATTCCTGCTCCACGGCAATCCGGCCGATCCTCGTCTTGCACAGCTCTGGGACAAGCAGATAGAGGCGTTTGATCATGGGCTCGCTCTGCTTAAGCCCCCAGGGCAGCGAGTTACAATCAACACACCCGACTTCGACATCCCTGCCATCTGGATTACGCCCAGCGGAGAGACGAAGAAGCGGCCAACCATAATCACTGGATTTGGCTACGATAATACCCAAGAGGAGCTCTACCACCTCATCGGACTCGCCGCCCTTGAGCGCGGCTATAATGTTCTCAGTTACGAAGGCCCCGGCCAGCCCGCCGTGCTCAGGAAACAGCGTCTTGGCCTTATTCACGACTGGGAGCGTGTTGTTACGCCCGTCATGGACTATGCTCTTAGCCAAAAGAACATGGTTGACCCTTCGTCAGTAGGTCTCGTAGGCTTCTCTCTAGGCGGTTACCTGGCATCCCGAGCTGCTGCCTTTGACCACCGATTCGCGGCCGTCATGGTCCTCGATGGGGTCTGGGACTTTGGGTCCATCATCAAGAACACTTTCGGACCTGACTTGATGAAGGTGTACGCAGCCGGCGATAAAGCGAAGTTCGACTCGCTTGCCGCCGCGAGGTTTCTCCAACCGCAATCTCCGACCTTCCTCCGTTGGGGTCTCGAACAGGGCCTGTGGGCGTTCAACACACGATCGCCCTTTGACTTTGTCACGCTCAGTGCAAACTTTACCCTCGAGCGTGTTGCCCATATGATCTCAACGCCGGTCTTTGTTGGCGAAGCCGAACAGGACCCGTTTTATGCCGGCGAGGCCCGCCGCCTGGCCAGTCGCCTCGGCAGATGGGGTCACTTGCACGAGTTCAAGGCAGAGGATGCCATTGGCACTCACTCGGCCATTGGCGCGCTCAAGCAGCAAAACCAAGTCGTCCTGGATTGGTTTCAGCGTACGCTAAGCAAGAAGCGCAAGGGAACGAGGCGGGGCTCGTAGGCTTGTCAGGGTTTGTCGCTGCCTTTTCACCCTTCTCACAACTTGGATCTTTTGGGCTATGTCCAACTCAGAGTATACTTCAATAAAATTGTACATATATTTGCCGCAGTCTTGCCTTTATGCGCTGAAGAGTAGGCTTCCTTTTCTGGATTTTCTCATCTGGCGCCGAGGAAGTGGCCCAGGCGGCCAGGCCATGGCCTCTTTGACTTCAATTCTCCTCGCCCTCTCCCACTTCTTCCCTGGCTCTCTTAGGTCGTTTGGACTCGCCACAGCCAGCGCTGTCCAGTACCGGAGTAATAAATTCGTTCAACAAGCGTGAGATAATTGTCTTTAAGAATAATCGCTTTCCGACGGCTACTGTCTGAGCTTTGCCCTCATCTTTGGGGGGTTTTATCCCTCGCTCCGAGTTACGTATCATCATACTCATACGGCTCCCCAACGCTTCGATCCTTGTCGCCCTCTGCATCGGTTATGTCCTTGTATATCTGCAGCTTCTCCTCGAAGTTATCTCCTAGCGCAGTGTACATCTTGCGCGCGCATTCGCCCGTGGAGCATGGAAACGCATGGACTGCTCCGTCGTCGAAGCTTCGCACCAGCGTCACGGTATCCTCGCTCACGTCCTCTTCTCCCAGCACGCAAAAATATTCGTCGTCCCAGTCCTTATTATTAGGCGTAGCCCGCAAGTACTTGGCGCAGTCTTCCAGTGTTTTCCCCAGAAAAGGCGACGCAAAAGAATCGGCAATGGGCGGGCGAGTACCATCAGAAGGCAGGGACCGTTCGCCTTCGCCCTCGCCCTCGGTGCGATGCTCGGGAGCGCAAGCATACGGAGAAGAGGGGTCCGGGATGTGGACAACGGTCAGGAAGAAGTTGCCGTCATTCTCCTCCGCCGTTCGACGGAGAAACTGGTTGATGTACTGATGGCGTGTCAGACGTGCAAACGCGCTAGGCGGTGGTCTGGCTACTCACCTCAACATCGACTGTCTCTGAGAGCACGAAGAGTGCAAAGGGGCTGTTAGGGCCGGACATGATTTCCGCGAGAAGACTTGGTGAAGAGACGTGTGAAGGAGGTGCATTTGGCGCAGACTTTGAGCGGCGAAATCAGTGAACTGTTCAATGTGGGGAGTCGGACGAAAGCCGGGGAGATTGTTATATCTGTGTGTTAGCTCAGCCAGACTGGCAAGATGAGTGTTGCACCTGCAACAGTTTCATAGTCAGCGGGTTGGCGGGACCTTTGCATGAGAACAGCGACATACATCATAGTCGTTTAATTATGCTGTCTTTGAGGGCTGAGTGTGGTAATGACGATGCCGTCGGTGGCTGCCGACCAACGACATGTATCAAAAGAATGGTAATTCACGTTGCTACATGCGTAACACTTGGTCTGCAGTCAGCCCTAAGCAACCCCATTCGGCGTTAAATCCAGATTTTTGAGGCCACATCTCACAACTTTGCCGAGTCTTGTCAAACCATCAGCAGGCGAACTTATTATGAAGTCTACTCGGCCACTCGTCGAGGACCGCTGGCCCCCGAACAAAGTTAAGCGGAATACATGTGATCAGGACTTGTGTTGCATTCGTCTACGGACGAAACAAGTTCAGCCCTCCTCGCCCTTAAGCGAAATAGAATTTTTCCCGCGCGTCGTGCTCTGGGTATACACAGGAGAGGATCGTGGCAGCTCACGGCAAGGAGAAGCCCATTATGGCCAGGAGGATGAAATCTTTATTCTACTCAGGTGGTTGCATCAAGAGAAGGAGAATTCTATCGGGGTCAGGTGGATAAAATCTCATTCTAACGAGGCGGTTTCATCAAGAGAAGGATCGGTCTTAGAGACCGTCAAGAAATTAGAAGCATCCGTTCACGTCCATATAAGAGCAGAAGGGTAGAATAGTCCACTATGGGTTTTTCATCATCATCATCTTCTACGTTTCCCTTCCGGCCAACAGCTACTCATTGAGCCATCGGATCGTCTTGGTCTGGTCAATTTCATTATGTTTGGTCTTATACCAACCGCCCTCTTTGCCACGGCAGCCCTAACTCAGATCGAAGACGTTGGCATTCCCTTTAGCGGCAACCTCGACGTTGCCCCTGGCCGTGCCAATCGTTTCCAAGCCCGAGCCGGCACCGACTTTGGCATACTGAAATTCAACTGCAAGGGCGGAGAATCAGCCTGCAACAATGCCTGCTACTACATCAACTGCCACGCACCCGCCAACAATATCAAGGATGCCGACAAGATTGTCTACACGGGTCCCAAGTCGAAAGATAACGATCGGAATCGCCGTGAGTCGGGGTGCCAGGCTCGTCACCCTCCAAAGGGGGCCCATCAGAAGCGTCAGAATCACAAGCCTCATAAGCCTAAGAAGCCTACGAAGCCTCATAAGCCTACGAAGCCTACGAAGCCTAACAAGCCTAAGAAACTCGGCTCGACTACCAGCGTATGCCGGGCGTTTCCATACAGTCAACGGTTCATACCCAGCGACAAACACTCAGAGGCGTCATCGTGGCAGTGCGATGAGTGGCCGCCGGCGTCGTCTCAGCAGCAACCGTTCGGGTCCAGCGGACGCATTGCCAACAGTCTCCGCTGTATGCCTAGCCACGAGAACGAAGCACTCGGTCGTCAAATGGCTTCATTCTATCAGGGTCATGGGACATGGCCCGGCCGAAAGACAGCGGGCAAGATGGCTCGCAATGATTACGCCCGCGTCGAGTTCGACATCTCCCAAGCGGACGGGAGCAAAGTGTCGTTCTGTATAAAGCATGTAGATGGCCTCCACTGCGACAACGACGTTTATCAGTTCGGCCTGACCAAGAAACGTCAAAAGTATGGCCAAATTTCAGTCCCGATCGAGCCCAATGACAGTGACCAGGACAACCTTTATGCTCTTCAGGACACAAGATTCAAAAGGATATTCCAATGCTCCATCAAGCTCACGCGCGAGGGCGACAACCACTTCAAGAGCATCGAGCTGGGCGATGGGGAAGGTACCAAGCACGAAGCGCCCGACTGCGACATTCCAGGGGCGACTGGCCACTGCACCCTAGAGGGGCTTCCCAAAGAATTGAAGCTGTTCAAGAAAGGCCCTCTGGGCTCCAAGCTCAAATTTGAGTATGCACCAGGGGAAGAACAAACCAACTTCAACTGGTATGCGTGGGACACTGATTCCGAGGGCAAAGGCAAAGGTCCCACCGCCGATAAGTTTTATTGCAAGAAAGGTAAGAGCGGAAACGAGGAGGATATTGAGTGCTGGTTCCCTTGCTACGAGAACGCAGATGGCAGATAGCCGTGCATGTATTTTATCTCAATCGGTAGAGGCGCATTGTCGGAAAGTTGGCTCGTTGTTGGTGGATCAGGGAAAACTCTGGCAACGTCATGCATAGGGCCTAGGGAGTGTTTGGGACTGTCATTGGGATCAAATCGGACTTTAGTGAGCATTGACCCGTTGGACTAATTTATAACGGTTAAATCCCACAAACGCTCTTTACACAGGTCTTTCTTCGTCAGAGAAATTGATACTAGGTGGCCTGTTTCTGACTTGGGATAGGCTTGCGTGCATAGACGGGGCAGGCGCTATTTGAACGCCAGTTGTCTAGCCATGTTTTACGACGTCATCTATGAGTCTGGCTGGGTGTTGTTGGATGCCCACTTCGTACATGTAGAAGCTGGGAGAGGAGAATATACCCCAATTTGGTTTTATCACGCAATGTGTAGTTGGACAGTCACAAGGGAATGGTCAAGGTCATAAAATTGTTGACGTTGTTCTCATTGAGTCACGTCCGCATGGACAGATAGAATCAATGGTTGAACGTTGACATCATATTCCCATCTAAACTCCCGATGACCTCAAGCCACGGCTCAACAAACAGATTTATTCGTGTTGCAGCTTGGCAATAACACATGTAGCTACACGTGCTAGTGCGTAATCCAGTCAAAATGTCATAAAGTCGTATCAATCCCACCCTGCCAGGTGATGGAGACACGAGATGGGATGTCCTTCCTACACAAATCTGCTTTTGCCTCCCAACGACATGTTAACTATGAACTATTTTGCGAAGATGAGTACTTGTGCATGGGAAACTGGTCCCGACGTGCGTTCTCTTCCATACGTGCGAGGCGCAGCTGGCGCTGCTTCTGCTGCCTGCGGCGGTACAGGAGGAGCAGAGCGGCAGCGACGGAGCTCACGCCGACCAGAGAGCCGATGACGATGCCGGCGATGGCGCCGGCTCCCAACTTTGAACCTGCCGAGCTGCCGGAGTTGTCAGAGTTCGCGGTGGGCTTGGATCCGCCGGCGGCATCCGCCTTCTTATCATCCTCGCCGGGCTCGGTAGCGTTGAAACAAAAGCTACTGTCACTAACAAAATCGGAAGCCGAGACAAAGGTAATATCGGCACATGCGTAGAAAGTCTGGTTGTGGGGGGCGTCCCAGTCTGCCCTGTAGATGATCTGCAGGGTGGCATTGGTGCCGGCAGTGATACGTTCGGGAGCATCAGGGACCTTGACACAGGTGTGGCCAGGGTTGAGGTCATTGATGTCGGTTGAGCTCACAAGGGGGGAAAAGTCATTGTTGCTGGCCGGATCTGTTTGTTCGGGACGGGGCGCAGGTGAGTGGATGTTCAGTAGTGACTGCTTGGAACGGGCAGGTACCTTTGGAGTAGGATATGCTGATCTTGGAGTCGTAGTAGTCGTCCTGTGCCACGAGGGCGACTAAGCCGCCGTCTAAAGCATGTCGTTAGCAGAACGGACGAGGCTTTCGGTAACATGCCCTTCTATCGCTGGACAGAAACCCGACTCGACAGTCCGCTTTTGACAGCATATGTTCTCGACAGAGTCAAGAACAAAAAAAACTAAAACTCGTTGCCGACTTACTCAAGGGAAATTTGGTCCTGACGCCTGGGGCAGCGCTTGATCCACAAGGAGCTGTGTTGTCCATCTTGCCCAACCAGACTCGGTCAGGGGGCCACATGAATGCGGCCGGGCCCATATGATCGTCGGTGAATGATGCCGATGACGGATTGCTCTTGGACTGTTTGTCATCGGCGTAATGGGCAGTGGCGATGGCCAGCATGGAGGCCAGGCCAAGGGCCAGGCTGTTCTTGGGGAGCTGCATGGCGGAAACCAGACCAGCTTGTGATTGAGAGAGGAAAGGCCGGTATGAGACGAGCTCTAGGGGTGGGAAAGAAAAAAAGAGAGCGAACTCTGCCAAGGGGGTTCGACAGAAGAGGAGAGAAGCAAAAGAGGTCGGGGGAAGGGGCCGGTGGCGGCCAAGTTATGGATAGGCCCCCTCCATGTGAAAAGTAAGGTAGCGGCGGATGCGACCTTTGCGTGCAAACTTTTCCCAAGAAAGCTCTTTTCCTCCCTTGGCCGAGCTTGATTGGCGACTGGAAGAGGGGCGGATGTTGGTGGACTGACGCAGTATTTATCAGATCATCTGATAAGATTAGATCCAATAAGACGAGCCCATCTTCGTCCAAAAGACCCGACCTACAGGGAATCCCCGCACGCCAGCCACTAAAGCGGAAAGGCTCGGTGTATGTGAGCATATACTGGAAGCAGGCAATCGACTGCTGACTTCCTCTTCGGAAAAGCCGGCCGAGGCAGGAGTTTTCAAGCCTTTTTCGCACCGCGAACCGTCCACAGTTGCACGTAGTGGAGATCAAGCTTGCCGGACGTCGCTTGGCGCCGAGCGGGGAACCGGCCGATTCCTCCAGTCCACCGGCGTTCGTCCGGCCAAATACAATGCCGAGTGTGCTTAACAGCTAAGGTAACAGCGGAAGCTTGTTGAGTGCGTGTAGCAATACAGTGGAAGAGCTGCTATTTGCGACGGGGAACATGAATGGAGGGCACGAGATGATAGAATCCTCCACATATGGAGCAGAATTTTGAGCTTGAAGCTTATTCCACGCAAAGCTTCGTACGTGTACCCACAGCGATTTTGAGAAGAAGAAAAGAACCAAGCTTCCCCCTTCCTCGCTGACTCTTGAACGGATCTTACCCAAACCAAGACAGAGCCATCTTTCAGGCGGTTCTACATGTTCATGTGTGAAACGCCTGCCCGGAGAACTCCTTTGCCAGCTCACCCTGCGTCTCGTTATAAAATCTTACGGCAAGAGTCGCTCATATTGACTGGAATGCACCTTTATTTATTACACTCGAGCCTTGCATGGACGTGCTTCAAGTGGCCGTTTTGAGCTCCACATGTTGTCTCTGAGTACAGTACTGTCACCACCGTGCGCCGTGGAAGCACCGTCGGTGTCCGTTGGCCACATCAAGCAGGCTGTTGTCTCCGCCGCTTTTTTTTAACTATCAAAGGTTGAGAGAACCGTAGTGGTACCGCTGTAGGCTTCTCATACCCACGGTCGCGAACAGACTTGGTTCAAGACGGCGGTTGAGCATCCGCGACGAAAGCATCGGACTCACATTCTCTGCTAGCTGCGCTCGCCATTGACATGTCTTGCGATTCGATCCAGGTACCAGATTTCTTCATGCTACGGTGGCCCCATATGGGTTCGAAGACGATGGCTACGCAAACTCGACACTCGTCGACACGCGGCATAGCTCCCTATTTAGGAACTTGGCATCGCAAGATCAGGAAAAGATTTCCGAAGCTAAAGCGATCATGCAACGCCCAGGCAAGAACCTTATGTGCTGCAGTCATACCACATATTGAGAGGTACACAGGCAAGTGCCAAACCGGTAATCGAGGAGCTCCGGGTCCTTTTGCTTAACCCCATCACGACAAGGGCAATGGGGCGGTAGCACGGGTCCATACCATACATACAATACACCAATAGCAGACCTATGAAAAGACTCAGCACTGCGGATCAGCAAGTGTTGGAGTGGCTTGAAACCTCCACATCAGCGCACATTTCCGTTGCGCCAGCCTTCGGACCGCTTTGTATATCTATGGTACAGAGCATCGTCTTTGATGCCAAGACGGCTCCAAGAAGTCAATTGGAATATATCTCTATTACTCTGTGCAACACTGAAACTGTATCGTTGCTGAACCTCCCGGCATGTTGATTATCCGTATTGTACATACACAATTCATCGGACTTGAGCGATACAACAATGCAGCGTTCTTGCCACCGAGCCTGTCGTATAAAGTACATATTCACGTCTTGGACTGGACAAGGCAGTGCTTTGAATTACTCAAAGCCCATTTACCCTCCGTCAACCGGCACTTTGCAATCCAAGACAATATAGCCCACCAGTCTGGTGTTTGACACAGCCTCGGCAATGTCAGCTCCAAAGTAATCATCGCCGGGGAACAATAACATCAGCCCTTAACGGCTATGACTCTTCTCTGTTAAATCGTAAATGTCTTAAGTTTTTTTCGTGGCGTTACTGAAAAGGAAGAATCGATCCTACAACTCACCTTGCTTACTAGCCAGACTCAGCTATAATGCTTCCAATATTCCGAAAGCTGCTCGAGACAACTATGCATATTGATGCTAGAAGTAAGAGAAGCATCGTAAGGAGAGAAATCAATTTGTCTATTCTTAATGTAACCTCGCTCAAACCCGGGGAATACGTCTCCGCGATTCTTATCATCACGTCCTCCACCCCCGTTAGCGCCATCACTTTGCATATATGCCTCGAGCGTTTAGTCCTTGCGTCTCCACTACTGTTGTATTATCCTGCCAAGTCGCCCGCTACATCCAATTCCTGTATGGTTCATATTGCACCGTAAGGTCTCGAGTCCCGGTCTCCGGGCTAGTTGCTACCATACCTCATCCATGCCAATCATCACAGCAGACAATAGTCTCGCTGTTTATTGCTCTCAGACCCCGCTGCCTCCATCATAACTCAAGCATAGTTGTCGCCTGCCAATCTATCCGCGCTAGATCAGCATGTCAGGGTATGTCAGATACTTGAATGTCGTCCAGCCACCGCAATTTCGGTACTTAGGTGCGTCGTGACGATGGCTAGGCGACTTCGTCGTGTTTCTGAACCATAGGCCACATCGACCCAGGCTCATAAGATCTCGAAACCACCACCGCAGTACATTTACAGGAGGTCTTCCACAGTATATGTGCTCTACTAGTCAGGCTCGGCGTGCGAGGCTGACCTAGCCATCCTTCCGAAGAAGCCTTGGATGAGTCAAGGATCTGCCCCCCAGCTTGAGCGCAACAAGGCCATGTCATTACCCATACAGCTGAAAAGAACATCAATCACTTGATGAAGCACAGGTGGAAAGCTCCGACAACTGTGCATCGCTGGTGCGACTGATATCCTGATCGTGCCAAAAGTAGCCAACAGCGTTAAATTGAAGGCCACTGTCACGGAAGATGACCTGACTTCATCATGTAGTTGACGAAACGCAATGTCTGGAATGTTTAATAAGTCGAGGTTTTTGCCTCTCCAAACGAGTTGTTGTTACTCATCGCGCTTGACTACGCGCACTGGCTAGTAGGGCACTCCACGGCACCTCACATGGTCTGGGTTGGCTCTGGCAAAAGACCACAAATGCAAACCTGCCAGATTCCATAAACCAAGAGGGCCGGTGACCGATTCGATGATAAGACAGCAGATCAATTAAAACAGCCATCTCGTTCATCTCTTCCCCTGCATCCGGGGTTTCGAAAAGTGGCGTGAATGGTTTCTCCTGGGAGAAGATATCTCAACGCGGACAAGACTCTGCGTTTGCATCCTCTACCTCCCCGTGGCAAGTTGCATCCCGATACACATCGTGGCCGACGTCCCCGATCATCAAAAGAATCCCGGGCAGGCCATCCTGCAGATCCCGCAGTCAGCATTACCCAGGGCTGCGGCGGACATGTGCGGCATCCAAGCGGGCATTGGTCCACGGGAGTCGATCTAAGGCGAGAGGAGGCCCACTGCAAAAGCAGCCAGTGCATGTACGCGGACGAGCTCACCTCTGTATTCGATGGCATAAGGCAGCAATGGTGACCAAAGCTTAAACAACGTCCCCTCAGAGCAGGCCGCACAGATGCCAACGCACTTGATCCGGGCTTCCAGGTTGAGCGAACAGCTTCAAAATCATCCACACAACGTCTCGACTCTTGGCCAGGCGGCCTTGGCAGTGGCTCATTGCAGAGGGTGTCGGACACTCTCCTGTGAGCGCAAAACTGCGGTCCTGCAGGTACCTGGGTCGTGTCGTTGCATCTGCAAAATCAGGAGGTTTCCCAAGACGTCGTAGTCCTCGTTGGAAGAACGGTTTGCATCGCGGCCGCGCTGCTGCGACGTCCGCCGAAGAGCGATGCAGTCTCACCCGCAGAACCGGGGAGGTGGCGGGCAAGTGAGACGTGCCAAGCGTATAATTGCTTCAGTCAACCCAAACAGTATACCTGGCCAAGCTTGCTGGTGAGAGTGGTAAACAATAGAGTGCAGTCCTTTGCAGGCACCACAACAGCCAGTCTCAAGATACATGGGGCAAGTGGCATGTAGCGAGAAGATGTCCCAAGGTACGTTGGGATATGGCCACGAGAGGGCATGTTGGGCATGCCGTGGCTGACAGTTGCGTTGGCGCCATGCAACTTATCAAGGTAGTCGGACAGGGACGTGTAGGTGTAGGTTTCGTGCACGATGTCACTGATTCCAATGCGGCTGATTCACCGGAGGGCAGTTGGATGACAGGTCGTCGGGTGAGGTACAGAGAAGACTGCCTGTTCCCTCTAGTCAATGCATTGCCGTCCGATGAGCCGGCTTAATGAATCACGTCTACGAATAGATCGACTTGCTCCTCGCGACGGACTTGGGGCTGGAAGGTCGGGTACCTGGCAAGAGCCACTGGGAGAGCACAGGATAGCCAAGGCGAGCTGCGTAGAAAAAGCAAGAAAGAAGACAGGGAAAGGGGCAAGAGTGCGTGTCTCTGCTCACCGAAACTCGTTATTCACCGCCATGGTTACGGGCCAATGTGCAATTTGTCTTGTCTGTAATTACCCATCTTCGGGACAGGAGCTTGCGAGAGCGGCGAAACATGATGGGCTTCAAGACCTTGGCCGAGCCGAGACCGGCTCGTGGTGGCAAGCAGTTTTGACCCAGGCCAAGAGAAGGGGGTTGTGAGTGTAGGAAAGGGCTCTCTCGGCTTGGCATCAATACGATTAAGTAGTGCCATGACCGGACGATCAGCACAGGTCGTGGACGCAAGTAACACGATGGGAGGGTCGCACGGACAGAACGTGGCCGGGGCAAAGGACGGGAAGCGAGTGGACGCGTGTCGCCTCGGGTATATTTGTAATTGGACGTGAGACGTTACGGGCCCAACGTGGTGGTGCATTCCAGGGCGTTGTCAAACAGCGTCGTGCTGGGTAACCAATACTCGGAGGCCGAACTCGTCTGCGAGCAAAGGAGTAAGCCGGGCAGAGACGGGGTCAGGGAAAGAGAATCATGGTGGGATTAGCAACGAAACATGGGCGTGGACAAAAGAGGGTTTGGAGCTTGGTGCAGCTGTCCTTTCTCCCCATCGCTCCCACCCTCTCACTTGGGAGAAAATGAATTGCGTTAATTATGGCACGAGCAAGATGGCATGTCGCGTCTCGTAGAGTCGCAGCGCAGCATGGCGTCTGATGCTGAAGATGGGGAGATACAGCATGGGCGTAGTAGGTACAGTATGGGCTCGGCATGTCGGGCGTTGCGAGGAGGGCGTGCGTGCAGGCTCGGTAGCAAATAATAAGGCTGCCTAAACAAGCTTCCATCTGCGATCGGGGGGGGCGCGAGTGCTGCATTGGCGGTTAGCTAGCTAGCTAGCAGAGCAGACGGGAGAGGCAGGCAGTCACGAGGGCAGATGCCGGATAATGAGACACTGTCGAGTCGTGTCGTGTCCCAAGAATCACGTCGTCTCAGACACGACGATTGGGCCACAAAGGAGGAAAAAGGGTGGTGATGGGGGGAAGCGGTGGGCAGTACCGTGCGCCTTTGGACAGTGTGCACTATGCGCGGCCTTCACCTTGGAGTTTTCAAGGCCGAGACTCGCAGCCTTGAGCGGCCAGCCGCTATTAACTGGGGAGAAGGTGACGAGAGATTCCAGGGTCCAGGCTCGTTTGGGGCGGGCTAGCCCTACCCTAGATGCTTGTAGGGAGATGATCTGGGCGTCAAAAGCACTGTCAGTCATGGACAGTGCAGTGATGCACTGTGCGCGTACGGATACATGGCTGGCGCCTGCATCTATGTGCGGAGCGTTGGTGTCTGCAAATCGCCGACTCATGCTCATAAAACACAGACAATGCACCTACTCAATGAAGCCAAACGTACCATGATGGCTGGCCTGTATACTACGGTAGCTGGCAACGACAACAGCTCACTGCGCAATGCATCTTGCATCTCTAGCGCATCTGCGAGGCGCCCGCCGCCTCACTCGCGGAAGCTTCCAGCAGGGGGGTGTGGAAGCCTGTCGTGGAGAGCGGAGCAAGTCGGAATCTCGTTTCTGTACAGACCTGTCTGGTCTTCAGCATGTTTCTCGACGCTCCCCCCCCATTCTCCTTGACCTGCTTGGCCCCCGACATTTTCTTGCGGCCTGGCAAGTATTGAATCCGCCACATCCTGGGCCATGCACATGGCGTCTTTTCACCCGTCGTCCCCAATCGTCCCATTTCTCGGAGGTACGAGCAGGTCCGAGCTCCGATACTCGCCGTCGCATACATGATGTACGCTTAGATGAGGTACCGACGGACATGACTTTCAAGTCGCGACATTTGTCTGAGGCTCTCCGATGGTGCCTCGACCTCTTTCGCGCCTCCTGGCTTAGTCCTGCAAGTGCAGATCTACCAACCGTCCCCAGGCGATCCGTACCCGCTACTTGCGAGCAATGTAGATGCCTTGGGTGCCCAGCCTGTGACGTCGGCTTGTGTGAAAATTTGTGCGCGGTCTACACTGTGCTGTCTACTGTACACAGAAGCAGGACCCCAGATTGATATGATATACAGCAGCCCGTGCCTTGTTGGATGCCTTGTGCGCGGTACCCGCTATCTGCCTTGTCGCGACCGTCAGGTACCGTGCTCCGTCATGCCGGAACAACAGGGCAAGAGCAGAGGATTGGATGCCAGTCACCTGCTCGCCGTGCGCTGCAGGACGCAGGGCCCATCCACGCTTCACACCCACCCACAACTGTCGCACCGGGTGCGTGCACACTGTGCTTTCCCAGACTTTCCGGCCCTCGCCAGCGCCCCTTCATCAGCCCTAGCGGAGATATCGGCCCCAGTCCAGGCCCCTTCCCTCCGCAAATGAGCACAGTTAAGATCGAGCCCTGCACTGTACATCTCTCAGCCGCGGGCCACGCTGAGCCAGGTACGCGACCGGGGCATGTCCAAGGTACCTCTTCCACCGCGTACCCCTTCTTCCCGCTCTCCTAGGTTGTGCTACAGGGTGGGGTGGGTCATGGTGAGTCCGCCAAAAGCCCCCAAGCATCACTGCACCCACCGAAGCGACCGAAACGCCCCGCCCCCCTTGTCCAGCATCCACCAGCCTAGAACCGCGTCTCTCGGTACCGAACCTTTTTTTTCTATTATTTTCCCCTTGACCTTTTTCTCCTCTTTTCATCTTCATCCAGACCTCGAGTCCTCGGGCGGGCAGCACGCTCTTCGACTTCTCTCCCCTCGCCGGACAGCGGACGGCAACGTCCTCTTTTCCTCCCCTCTCGTTCCGTTGAATGGTCGACAAGATGGCGAATCAAGTCCAGCTTGTTGCTTCCAGGGCGAAGCTCATCTCGCTCTAGGCACCAGCTGCCTTGCACGCGAGCACTTCCATCTTCCGGCTGGTGCTGGCTCCTTGTCTTGGGCCACGATCGACGCTTGCCCGTCGGCTCATCTACGCAACGACCACAGACCACAGTCAGCCCTCCCGACTCTTCCGCCTAACCCCGAACGCCTCCCGGCCTCCCGCAACTTCACCGAGCCTTCTCCTACTTGTCGGGAGTATTCCACCTCTTCTGGATGCCCTCCGACGGCCTGCACCACGTCTCGGCGCAGGCAACTCGACTGTCCAGCGACGGCATGACATCGAAGAGAAACTCGCGCGTCTTTGTCGACGAAACAAAGCACTGCCAAGTCGGATCCCAAAAATCCTCTTCGTCGTCCCATCGCTCACGACGCGACTCGCACGGATCCGCCAACGACGACATGTCACCCCCGGCCAAGGAAGCGGAAGATGGCCAACGTGTCGGCACCATGCCCAGGGAGGCGGCCACCGTCGCTCGCACCCGGAGCACCAGCGACGGGACACGCGAAAACACGGTCACTCCCAGTATAAAGATTGGCGAAAAGACGAGTAAGTAAAGTATCCTAGATCTTGCCTCTGCCGCTGTCTCCTAGCCTCGCTTCGTGCCGTCACTAACCTGCGTCACCCAACAGTTGTCATGGCCGCCAAGGTGTCTTTGACACGTTCGACCGAATTCCCCCCCGTGCCCTTGAATGGTCGACCAGCCAACTTTGGTGTGGTTCTCCCTGGCGTCTACCGGAGTAGCTACCCCAAGCCTGAGGATTACGCCTTCTTGCAGAGTCTCAAGCTCAAGACGGTTGTGTAAGTCTTTGAATCGCCCCCCTCCCCTCCCCATTCAGCCGGCCTGGAGTGCTAATGCGTCCTGGCAGAACACTGGTTAAGAAGGACGAGATCGACCACGAGCTTGAATCTTTCACGTCCAGCAACGGCATACACCAGGTCGTCTTCAACATGAAGGGCACCAAAAAGGAGGCCATTCCCCTGTCTACCATGGCCTCCATTCTGAGGCTCGTTCTGGATCGCCAACACTACCCGCTGCTCGTGCACTGCAACCATGGCAAGCACCGGACCGGTTGCGTCGTCGCCGTCGTCCGGAAACTTTCGGGGTGGAACCTCGACAGTGTCTTGGGCGAGTACAAGTCGTACGCCATGCCCAAGATTCGCGATTGCGACGTCGACTACATCAGCGGCTTCCAGCCGACGTCGCTTCAGCCCATGGCATTCGACTCTCCTCGCTTCAGCCCGGTCCAGACGAGAACCTTTTTTCGCACCCTGCTATTTTCGACGTTTGTCATGGTGGTCTGGCTTGTGTCGGGGTCCAAGCTGAACCCCTCGTCCGGCAACCCGGCTGCATGAGAGGCGCGTCAAATAGCAGGTCACTGGTTGGTTCGCCAGTGGTCAATTTTCGGTACACCTCGCTTGCCCCGGCTTTCCCTGGCATTTGGCGCGACAGCAAATGCGCAACCACGCTCTTTTCGAGCAAAGAGCGGGGAAGCAACCGTGGGCTATAAGCAAGAGGGATATGAGCATGGATGTGACGATGAGACGTGACAGTCAAAACGACTCGAGTCAAGAGAGGCACATGTTTACTTGCCCAACTGGTCTTGGGCCGAAACAGCGGACGATTGCTTGGGATACATGCTTGGTTGGATTACGGATTTCACATGGGCGCTGTGGCTCGAGATTATGGCCATCAAGCGCTGAGGCCGTCTTGTGCCGGCGTTCTGGGCGGGAGAGCACCACGGAGGAGGACATGCCGTTGGCCGCACCTGCACGATAGAGGCTCCGTTTTGACTCTTCTTTCTTTTCATTTGTACAACACGACTGGAAGCACACGGCGCCTCGTGTCATGGGTGGCTGGCTGGGCGGCTGTCACCAGCATACAGCATTAATGCGTTCAAAGAGGGAACTTGAGGCTCGCGCCGTCCTATGCCTGTCTTGCTTCAATAGTGACTTGATCATTTTTATGTATGGACTCGCCAGCAAGGAGTGATAGGAGACCGTTCTGCCAAGGATGCTCGAATTCGAGACGGAGGTTGCTGTCCTGGAGCTACGGTTATGTTAACATCTGCATATCCTGTCGTCGAGAAGGCCAGCTGACCCCCTCAACTGCCACTCCCATGTGAATGTCGGGACTGATGAGGAAAGCGATAGGCGTTTCAGGGCCCAAGCCATGTCGGCAGCGCGTTGCGTCGATGCAACCACTCGCGGGAGCCAGAGCGAACTTTTGCAAGATGCGGCAGAGATGGGGGGAAAGCTTGGTAGCCAGTAGCCGCCGCCGCCGCCGCACAACCATGCACATGTTGATCCTACACACCATCTCTAACGACCGGACTGGACTGCTTCATCATGGTGCTGGATCTGCAAGGCCAGCGGGCATGGCAACGGAGCCTAGTGCCTGGGTTGGTATGCCGGGGCGCCTCACAGCTCGGTCCTGCCAGCACACGTTTCGGCAGCTGAACTGGTTTATGCCGCTTGAAGTTTGTCAGTTCCGTCTATCTTTCATGTATACATTGAAATGAATGTAAGCTCTCTTCATTTACGAATATATGGCATTGGTAGAGAACTGTGTCCGCAGATACATAACACGCAACGGGGGCAGCGTCGGAATCCCCTCGGCGTATACATGAGCATTCTATGCAAATCAAAGACTCGTGCGTGCTCTACTTAACCAGAAAACATTAAGAGCCGATAAATATTAGTCATTGAATAAACCTTTCCACTCTAGTATTATAGGAACCCCCAGTCATGGGGTATACTGCTCACGGCTCGCTCGCCACTCCACCTCCCCGACGCGAAGCCGTCCTGTCTTAGAAGAGTAAAGCTGCAAGGGCGTCTCGTCTGTCCTCAGGCATATATCTTTGCGGTTTGGGGGCGGCCCTTTGCGGTGTTGGGGCTGCCCATGACGTTGCCCACGGCACCGGTGGCGATCTTGGCAACATGTCCGGGCACTCCGGTGGCGAGCTTGACGGCATCGGACACCATGCCGGTCACGGCTCCCGGGATGTTTCCGGTCAAGACTTTGCCTGCGGCGTCGGGGATGAGGTTGATGGTGTCGCCGGCGGCCTTGAAAACGAGATCGACGGCGCCCTGGGCAGCATCGACGCCCGTGTTCATGATGTTGTCCACGATTCCGCGGCGGGAGTTCTCGTGGCTGCTAGTCTGCGCCTCACCCTCGGAGACGTCGCGGCCGTTGAGAATGGTATCGGCAGCGTTGATGGGGATCTTGGCGATATCCATGGGTATGCCGGTGGCGAGCTTTGCAGCATCAGACACGGCGCCCGTGACGGCTCCGGGGATGTCACCGGCTAGCGCCTTGCCCGCGGCGTCGGGGATGAGGTTGATGGTGTCGCCGGCAGCCTTGAAGGCGACGTCGACGGCACCCTGGGCGGCGTCGATGCCGGCGCCCATGACGTGGCCTACGGGGCCGGTGACGGCGTTCATGATGTTGCCTGCGGGGCCGGCGACGGCCTTGCCGATCTTGATGGCGCTGTTGAGAGGGCCGAGGACGCCGCCGCCGTTGAGCTCCTTTTCGTATTGCGGCTGGGGCTTCTTCTGGGCCGAGGCGGCGGGGCCCTGGGAAGAGACGCTGGTGTCGGCGCCGTGTGTCGCCGTGGCCGTCTTGGAGGCGCCGGACTGGGTGCTCGTCGCAGCAGGGGATCTTGTCGCGGCAGGGGAGCCGCTGGCGTCCTGGTAAGGGCTGCCGGACTTGGTACCGGAGCCGCTGGTGGAACCGTTGCTAGAGCCGGCGTCGACAGCGACGGGGGCAGCCTCCTTGCCGGAGGCGGCACCACTGATCGAGCTGGCCTGGGAAACGGCTGAGTTTTCGCCGGCCGAAGAGCCCGCCGAGCCGACGACCTGAGCGCCGGCGCCGGCAATGTCGACTGAGGAGGACTGGGTGGCGGATGATGCGCTCTCAGAAACGACGGACGAGATGCTCGGGACGCTGGATCGGGTCGAGTTGATATACGAGTTACCGGTCAAAACGGAGCTGGCGCCGGTGCTTGGGCCCGAGGCCGACCTGGAGCCGTCGGCAGAGGATCCACCCCGGGGGCTGGCAGAAGCCTCGTTAACACTGGAGGAGCCAGTCGACCCGACTGACCCGGTCTCAGCGTTGCTGATGGTAACGGAGTTGGTGATGCCGGACCCGCTCGCAGCGCCGGACGAATCCCCGGGTGCAGCGCCAGCGCCGCCCGAGGTGCCGGCCACGGAGCGGCTCGCGCCGGCGACAGAGTCCGCGGGCAGGGTCACGGCCATTTCAGCCGAGTTGGACACCGCTGTGCCGTCGGCCGCAACGGGAACTGTTTCGTCGCATTCAGGTCAGTCAATAAGACTCTGCCAATGACGGAATCTTGCTCGGCTTTATCCAATTGGTCGAGGAGGGGACGTGGTTTGAGCCTACTGCATTTGTATGCAACCCTTTCGGACTTCCCCGTGGGGGCGCCATGTACGAGGCACGCCGAGGCGGCGATGACGGAGGTGACGAGGCTGAGATTCCTCATGTTGAGCGAGACGCACTGCGGTTGAGGAGGGTAAAGGATGTAAAGAAAAGGCAAAATGGGTGTTGGGATGAAGCGAAAGTTGTGGAAAAGGTGGCAAAGGAAAAGAAGGACGGAAAGGAAGCGTAAAGAAAGAACTGATGACCAGGGACAAAGTTGGGGAAGAGACGTCGCGGAGGGCAGAGGCGATGGATTAAATACTCAACATTGGCGGCCATGGCGGGCTCAGCTCTGTTCTCCAGAGGGTTCGATTCGTTCTACGGGACAGGATGAGGCTCCAGAGAGATGGAGCAGACTGGAGGGCAGGATGGCTTAGCTACCGTCTTGCTGGATAACCTGACACACAGAAGAAGCGGGATGCCAGCCATTCCAAGGATCTGCGCATCACGACGGCGTGGCCGAGCCAGATGTAGCAATGTTGACCAAGCAAAGAGGTGGAGAGACAAGTCTGTCGAGCCTCATGGGGAGCGAACTCGCGCTTCCACTCTTCCCGACTCTCCGGACGAGACTCCACAGCATCAAGTGAGTGGTGACCGCGGTGGTTTACGAGCCGGAAATTGAAGCAGGGGCTTCGACTTCCACGTGGGGACGGGTGGCATGGCCAGGCGATTTTGCTTGTTTGCGAGGTGCCAAGCTGGTCCTTCCCGGCCTGAGGATCCTCGAGAGGGAGTGATCACAGGTCCACGGCTCTTGTCTATCTCTCCGCTGCGGTGGCAGTCTGACCGCGTGGTGGTGAATATGCGCCCGGATTTATACAAGAGATCAATGGGCGCGGTGCGCTTAGACCCCTCGATATGAGCTTTGACTTATACCGCACCGGGCGTCCACCAAAACTGGCCCTACATCCACGCGAGTGAGCTGAGATGAAGACTTCAGGTTGCTAAAAATGGCAAGCTTATTCCGTCATAGAGACGGGGAGAAATGAAAAAGCCCGCATGTAGGGCGTCGTAGCTTCTTCTTTTCGCCCTGAGGGAAAGGAGGTAAAGAAGGAGGATGAAAGAGCCTTGGCGATTGTTTCCCACCGGCTGGCCTGTTGCGAGAAACCGGCCGGGATTCGCGTCACCTTTCTTCCGCCGTGACGGTGCATGTGGAAATGCTTCGCGGTTCGAGGTTGAAAGAGAGAAATCGTGACATGTTCTCGTGAGTACAGCCAAGCCTCTCATTCGGCGTCCAGTTCAGCCAGCTTGTGAATGATCTTGGCAACCAGGTGACTCCAATCCCAACAGACGAACGAGACTTCATCCCCGGCCCTGTAGTCATGACAAAAGCCGGAATCAAGAATGGATAGTGAACCTCCATCCCGAGCAAGATTCTCTAATCGAGGCTCCGGTGATGGGACAGACGAAGTAAAAAGCATCGCATCGCGGGCAGAGGCGGAGATGGGGCTTCGTTGACAACACTCTCTCCAGATCGAACCAGAAAAGCCATTGACGAAGCAGCTATCACTTCTGTTCCCCGCCCAGTCCGGGTTCCAGCCACTGTTGGTACCTCAACCTTGCAGCTCGTGCTCTTGACGCCGGTGCGCTTTCGTCCGCCCGCCATGGCCGCACGGTCCGCTCGCTCGGATGCTTACTTTTGTCCATGTCCTTTTTTTGCAATTTAGCTGGGCCCTGCCAAGGATTATTGAGGGAGCTGCGTCAAGCGGGTGGAATTGGATAGCTCTTGTTTCATTAACTGACAAGCCCAGTGGTCCACAAAGCGCGTTGCGCATGAACCTAAGCGGGACGATTCGAAACGCCGAGGAACAAAACATACAAGGCGGCTTGGCGTCGTCATCCGCTGTCGTCTCAGGGCGCCGTCTTGTTTGGTTCCGGCCGAGAGAGGTCGGGTGCCGGGATGAGATGAGATGCGCTGGGCCCTGTTGGCGGGCAACATGACTCCCGCGCCGGCAGCCTCGGCTCTCTTCTTCTACCCACAAACCAAGGAGCCACGCAAACAACTTGAAGACTCGGGTCAGGCACCTTTTCCCCCGGTGAGTAGCGTCTCGGTCACGGAGGCTTCCGCTGGGGTGCACGCTTGATGTCTGGTCAAGGTCAGAACTTGCGCTGCCGCGGACAGTTCCCTCCATCGCCACCGTCATCGGCCTTTTCTATATGCCAGTGGGTGGTGAGCGCCGAAATGCAGCGCTCACACTGGCAATGCAAGTTAATGACTTCCATATCGCAATGCCCGTGGAAGATGTATTGTCGATTTCGTACCGCTGGTTCCTCGTCGACAAGACTGCTCCATTCAACGGCTCGACGGTGAAAGTCTCCTCCAACAAACAAGTGTCGAGACCGTCTTATACTGGCTCCCAGACCGGTTTGACGCAAAAAACCCAGGAAAGGGGGAGCTAGGAGTTGTGCCCCCATCACCGACGCCACAAGGACTCGTCCCACGCCAGGTCCGCGGTTAAATAAGTCAAGCATGATTGCGCCGATGCTAAAAAATGAAGACACAGTCCCGCGAGAAGGAAAACGAGTCCCCAAAGAGCGTAGTAAACTACCGCCTCCGTCACACTTTATCCCCCCACCGATTGCGCCTCAGCCTCTCCCGCTCATCCCTCTCAAAGTCCCCGCGAGCATACACCAGCCCTCCCGCCACGCAATTGACAGCACCGAGCCCGACAGCCGCGCCGCGCACGACGCCGCGCGCCGAGAATTTGCCGCGCAAGGGCTGGCGGCGGCGCAGGGCCAGCAGGGCGTACAGGCCGGACCAGGCGGCCGCGGTGCCGGCACTGCCCGTTGGGTAGCCGGCAAGGTTGAGGTACGAGGCAAAGAGCAGGGGCGGCGTGAATATGGCAAGCGGTAGAGGCTGCAGCGGGCGGGCGTGGAGCGCGGTGACGAGGGTGGCGAGAAGGGCGGGTGGCATGGACGAGGCTGCGTACGAGCCGGCGAAGTTAGTGAGGCGAGGCTTTGCAGTGAGCTTCGATTTGAGGAGCGCTGTGAGTGGGTGTGGATAGGGCGCGGTAAGTGAGGAAAGGGACATTGAAGCCGTGAGACAAAGACCCGATGAAGCAAAGAAACAAGGAGCTCGGCTCGGAGATAGAAGCATTGACAAAGCAAAGCAGGGCACAAAAGGGGCCGGACAAAACTCACACCCCCAGTCTTGCAGATATCCCACGACAGACTTCTCTAGCGGCTCGCCACCCGCCGCCTCGGACGACGAAGCCATGGCTGCCCCGTTCAAGGACGCCCGCGATGATGTCGTCTCGAGAAACGCGCCGGAATCTCGGTTGCGTCGCGGCCCAAGAGCGCGGTCAAGGTCAGTGATGCAAGCTGAAAGGCGTGAGAGCCGGCGACGAAGGACAAGAGACCGTTGGCCGTGACGGCGATGGCGGATTGGCGATGACGACGACGATGGCGGTGATGGCGATGGCGGTGATGACGATGAAGAGAGCGGCGTTGAGCAAAATCCGCTGCAGTGACGTCGCTCATGACTAAGCGCCGCTCGCCGACCCACCGCTGTGGAGACCCCGGACTCCGCAGCCCGGCACCGCGGGCCGACCTGCCGCCGGGCCGCTGCCGAAAGCCGGCCTGGGAAAGCAAAGGTGCCGTCCTCACAAAATCGTCAGAGGATACCTATGCATCAGGTGGGGATATAATCTCTCTGCCTAATAAGCGCTCTCCACAGGAAACAGCCGTGGGCACGGATTGGTGACGACAACTCGAGATATCAAACTGCCTCATGCCGCCCATCAGAGGCTCGTCTCCTCAGCCATCACACGCGGGACACAAGTCGGCAATCTTGGCTGATACGGCGTTGGTATAATCTATGGATTCGCCTGCGAATGGGTATCAACTCCTAGGCGGTCGGGCCGTCTATCCAAAGTGGTCGACCCAATCCGACCTTCATCTATGATCTAACCCTTCATCCTCTAGCCTCTAGGCAGCAGAGTTCCATCCCTGCAACTTTCCAGACTCGTGAATCTTTTTATCCCGCGTCCCAAAGTCTATGGAAACAGGTCCCGCCCTTGGTCCCGGCCGATTCTCGGCCTCCGTCCGTGAGTCCATGCGTATCTGCACGTCGTCGATCTTGGTAAAGCATTGAATTTCTCAATGGTGCTCGTGACTTTTCTCCCCGAGTGTATGAAATTTTTGAAAGGCGGTGTTTGGACAAGAGGACATAATGCGCGGAAAAAGTTCATCAAATCGTAACATGGCCGTCAGCACCCTTGGGTGACTGGGTATGGGTGCTTGTACGCGTGAGCGAGTGTGTGTGCGCGGATGGCGCGGGTATAATTCAGCGAGTGTGTATGTGTGTGTGAGTGTGCGAATTCGTGAGCGAGCGAGTGTGTGCGTGAGCGAGTGTGCGTGCGAGCGAGCGTGGGCGGGTGTCTGTGAGTGTGTGCCATCGTGCGACTGTGAGCGCATGTCCGACCTTATTCTTTCTCCGTGTCCTTGTGTACGTCGTGATCTCGCCAACGGCTTCCGTCCGCAATCCAATGGCGCTTACTCCGAACATCGACAGCCTTCTACACCGCGGGTGCCAGCACCCTTCATTGCGGGCCTTGCGACCAGTATCGAGGGTCCATGCCCTGATAGGGGTCAAAGTCGGGGTACGTCTCGTAGGGCAGAAAGTCGCCGCCGGCCCCGTACATGTGGCTGGTCGTCGCCAGGTAAGCCTGGTCCAAGCCGGCTCCCGTGGTGGCGGGCATGGGCTGGGCACCAGCGGCCCAATCCTGCGTGTGAGGAACGTCGGCGGCTGCATACTGTTGCGGCGAGAACAGGTGCGACATGGACGACGGCGTATAGCCGCCTTGGGCGAGCGTGTCCATGTCGAACATGTGCTGCTGGCTCGTCATGGCGAAGTCGGCCTCGCTCAGCATGGCGCCCTCGTAGCCGGCGTGGGCCAATGGCGCTGTCGGAGCCGGGGTTTGTGTCTGGCTGCTCGAAGGACGGCTCCTGGGCTTGGACGAATGTCGTGTCAGGGGAGAAGAGACGTTGCTGAGGGGGCTGCCGCTGCCCTCGCGCGGGCCGCTGGGGCTGTTGGTGGAGGGTCTGCTGGTTCGTTTGCCCCTGCGAGACGAGCGGGATCCCGGGCGGTTGTAGACACAAACGTGGCCGCTGCTGGCGCATCGGTCGCAGCCGTTCTTGTCACCGCTGCACTTGAGCTACACGAGCGGTGTGTCAGTTTACCAAGGCTGGGGTATGGCGCGGACACTGAACAGGGCAGAGGGGGGGAGACGCATGCGATAAACGTGGACGTAGCAAGCGAGTATCCCATATACATGAATCGGCTTACCGCGCAGTCGATGCTGGCCTTTGGGTCGATGCCGAAGGGATAGGAAGAGTAAAGGTACAACGAAGACGAGATGGAGGCGGGCGAGAGAATAGCGATTGAGTAGGCAGTTGGTAGTGGGGGGTCTTCTTCACGCATACGAGCTGTCAAGAGGCATGGGCTTACCTTTTTCTCGTGACACCGGTTGCAGGCCTGGTGCTGGCTGGATCGAGCCGTAATGGGATCGTAGGCCCGGCGCAGATTCTGCACCTCGTCCGTTTCGGGATCGTACTTCCACGTTCCAAACATGGCGTGTGATGGTGCGGTCTAGTTTGGCTGTCGACCGGATGCTCTCGTCACCGACGCGAATGGTGCTGGACACTGGAGATCTGGGGTTGGGGTGGCCTCGGGTATATGAAGGACCAATGTTGCCGAGAACAGACAGTAAAGAGGTCGAGTCAAGCGAGGCTATTCCGCGAGGAGCCCAGTTTTATAAACAAATACAATGGGCTATCGTCGACCAGGCTCCTGCGCGGGTATGCCAGGCAGCGGGCGGAGTGGTCCATCTGCTGCCCCCCCCACAATGGCATGATGGCGAAGGCTCGCAGGGTGTAAGAGAGACAGTGAGAGAGAATGTTGTTGGCTTGTGGCACTTGGATGGCTTCGGCACTGCCAGGCTTCTCTTCCACCCCAAGGGATGGATTCCGCGGCGAACCCACATGGGAGGAGCCGGCCCCCACAAGTCACCCAGGCGCACGCGATGCTAATTATGCTCACGGCAGGGGGCCTGGGTCTCGTGCTTGGCCGGAGTCGGGAAGGTAGCACAGCCAGTTCCACCCTCGCGGCCCTGGTCGTCCAGTTCCTGGACGGTGATGCCATGAAGGGGATGGAGCCCCCTTGGGCAAGCCACGGCGGTGGCTATGTAAGGCACCCTATCCTTGCGAAGCAACAAGAATAAAAAATTTAAGAGTGAGGAAGAGGGGCAGAAGAGTCAATGGAGAAGTGACCGGGGGGCCCGCACGTATGCGGGCAAGGGTCGTCGTCGTCGAAGGAGGGGGTCATGCTGTGCTTTGCTGTTCCAGCCTGGCATGGGTTTGCGGCTCGGTCGCAGTCTGCAATCGACAGCGGCTCAACAGGCATCGGCGGACGTGATGGCTTCTTCAGAACCAGCCGTAGTCGATGGCTTGCGTGCGGTGGAGAGGGCGGAAGAAGAGGAGGGAGTCCGAGAAAATTGGAAGAAAGGCTGTCTTGCCCGGCAGGTCCCTATACATGGCGGCGCCTATACCCTCGGCGGGATACGAGTGCCAGTCGGTAGCCGCTACACAATACACCTTGCCAATCCAGGGGGGCCACTGACCTCCACCTCCACCTCCACTGGAGATGCCACTGTTGCTCGCGTGAGTCCTTTAGGGCTGGCATCTTGGCAGGCGGAGATGGAGCCGGATGAGTGGCTTTGCCAGACGGGAGGCTGCAACACCAAAGACTACTCAGAAAAAAGGTCATTATCCCCGGGCAGCCAATCGGCCCCGTCGTGGCAAACAGACGCACGTTTCAGAACGGAGCATGGACCAAGACCGGTGGGGGGGACAAAACGTGTCCTGCCGCTCCTCGGGCTGACTAGGCCTCAAAAGATCGGGTCTAGAGACACGCAGAGAGAGAATGCCTTGGGCTTTGCGGAGATGCTTCAGCGGACACAAACGGACGGCCCCCGATCTGCCGGGGGTTCCAAGCCTTGCCGTCTCGGTTGGTCCTGTCCCCCTCTCGCTGCCTCACGCGTCCCTCGGCAAACCGTCATCATCAATGGCATGCCTTGTCTCTGCTTCAACACGCGGCGGGCTACTTCTAGGCGACAAGCGGCTCATCATCCTCTCAGCCTTGCAGCCAAGGAGGTGGCTGTTGGCCGATGCATCAGCCCGTGTCCGACGACAGATCGGGGCCGCATCTCGCCGATCCGCGTGCGCTTGTGCCTGGCATGATCTCCCTCGGGTCATCAGCCATGGACGGGGGCAAAAGATCCCTTCTCGAAGCCATGTGGCGACAAATATAGATGTGCCTTGCCGTGGCCGGCGGTGCATCCGCCACTCCTCCTCCAAACGGACCCAAACTGCTACCCAACGCTGATGCAATAAATCCAGGGGCTCCTGTGACTGCATCGCGACTCAAGTACTCCGTAGGCCTACCAGTGGTGCATCTTGCCTCATGTTGATAAAACATGCATCTGTTCCCTCGCCTGATGCAATCCCCATCGCCGTCTGTGCTCCTTTGCCGCCCCCTTCAATCTCCAATCCTCCGGGCATCACAGCCAATTTCTTGTCTCGCCTCTGCTCACGTGCTCATGCCACGATGCCCAAGCCTCCCGCGCGAAGGAGCTTCGGCATGGCAGGCTGGGCCTCGATGACTGCGCGCCGCCAGCATCACGGAAAGCCTTGGCCCTTCGCGCCGGGACAGACAGACAGACAGACACACACACACACGTCGAGTAAACAACCTCCCTGGTACAACCGTTGACGAGCAGAGACTCGTCACTTGAACAAACCGTCCGGCCACGGCGACTCCCCGACTTACACGCAGACGCCGGCCCTCGACGGCCCCCAGCGCCCAAAGTTCCCGGGTCACTGCCCTCGGTCAACCACTGGCTGGGACCCAAAAAAAGCACCCCTTGCTCCGGCCCCCGCCCGTTGGGCGTCGGGCGTCGGGGACTGCGGGCGGGCGGGCCACAGATCACGGAGGGCTCTCAACTCCCATCGCCGCCGCCGCAGCCCTCGACATCCATCCATCCATCCATCCATCCATCCATGATCCATCAGTAGCACCTGCCAGACCCGCTCCCCCCTATGCCCAGGCCGGGCTCGCCTCGAGAAACGCATAAGCAGCTTGTGCAAGTGTATAATACCACGGCTTGCGTGTACCGGTAGCAGGCTCTCCCCTACCACGCAATACACAGAGCACTTGTTCGCCGACTTGAGTCTGCGTCCCATTCATCTGGGGATGGTCTGTTTCAAACCCCGCGCCGCCCGCTTAGGCTCGCTTGAACCTCGTTTTTTCCTTTTCGCATGACGTGCTAAACCCAAGACGGGCAATGCGCAGTGTCACCGGCTCTGTGGGGGACGGAACCTGTCGAAGAAGGTCGCTGTAGCCATGGACTCATTTATAGAAACAGTCATTTGCCAAGGGCACATGCACAAGGTTTGTTCTTGTTCGTCCGGCGATTCTTATGTTCCTGGTTCCTCGTCCCAACTCTGGCAGGGCTGAAACGCGCCCGCGACTTTTGATTCCCGTCGACCACGACTTGCCCTAACATCCTCCACAACGCCTCCACCGTCAACGAGAGACGAAGATTGCGCCCTCAAAGGCCAGGATTTTCCATTATTCTCAGTCCTCTTATTCTACACATGTAGAGAATGCCGGGCTGCGGCTCCGCATGCTGGCCAACGGCTTCCCGGCCAGCTCATTATGAATCACAATATATTATACAGCCTAGCCCGCATTATGAATCAAAACATTGACAGGGAGTCTCCCCCTGCCAACACGCTGTTTCAAGCGCACAACCCTGCAGGGGGGCCAAACGTCACCAGCGGGAGGTGACGTCGATGCGTGGCCCCCCGGTCAAACATGGCCTCTACCCGGGGCCGGCCCCGGAGAGAGAATAATTCCAGAAAAGCGTGCGGCTATAATACAAAAACGCTCCTCCAGAAGGATGGAGCACCTTGGCATGAAATGCATTTGCAAGACAGGATTTTGCTCCCCCGCGCATCTCTCCTTGCCAAGCGCTATGAATAGAACTGCGTCTCCGCTTTCGGAGCCTCCCGCCTCGTATCGACTGGGTTGCGACCGACAGACTCAATCTATTTCTGGCGTCACCGCGGGTGATAGTCTTGGTATTCAGACTCGTCTGATATTGTAGCCAAGTCTATGTATCGCGCCCATGCTAGTAATAACCCGACGTGTCTCCAGTCTCCAGTCTATCACCGCAAAGCAGCAAACCGCGTGCATACAAGCTCCAGTGACAATCTCGGTAGGGCAGCTTGTTATGACCTCTTCACCCTTCTGTTCTTTTTATTTTTTATTTTTAGAAGTCTTATATCCTCGCGCATCCGAAGCCAGGATGTTCGGCAAACCAATCGCTCAGTCCCTCGCAAGTTGCCGCCAGGGAGAAACATAAATATAAATAAAAAGTCGCGTTCGTGGATCGTGGACTTTGTCCGCTCAGCGTCCGGTGAAAGCCAAATCGGTAGGAATCCGGTTCCTCGACGTCATTGAGCCTCGAGATATTGCTCGCCCCGAGGCCAGTCGCGGCCAGTTGTCATGTGATCAAGCGTAACGAACTTGCTTCCTCTTTTTAATGATTAGCTTCCTGACATAGTACCTGATATCGTCCATCTTGGTAACGGATTCCAGATCATCGCAGATGCCATCGTCCCATTTTACCATGACCTTGTGGCGACTCCGATCCGGCGTCAGCATCGAGATGATGTCGTCGATGGTCGCCTTGGGCGCAATTGAGATGGGGAATATGGATCCATGGCGCTGGGCCATCGGTCCGCCCGTCCGGTCCTCGACGTCGATGTTGATGCGCGTTTCTTCAGGCTTCTTTTCGGGGGGTTTGGGGCAGCAGGCCGTCCCGGCCACCGGATGGCACACAAATTGCTGACCTGCGCAGCCGCACGGCTTGGAGGCTGCCAGCTTCTCTGCGTGGCATGGGCAGCACTTGTACTTGCATTCGCCCGGCTTGGGCTCCTTGGGGTTCACAACGAGCTCAGTACCGGGGGCCCCGGGGGGACGGGTTGACCGGCGGGTGTGCCGGCCCCGCTCGTCATAATCATCATCCGAGTCGCTGGACAGATCATCCCATTGTCGGTCTTCCAGCCATCGGAGGCCCCGCGGCGAGCCCTTGAGGGAGTATTTTCGCATGAAGCGCACATCGTGCTCCTCACGTGCATACTCCCTTCGTCTTCCCCGAAACGGATTCATTTTTTTCCTGTCTGTCAGGTGCTGACCCACTCTTGGCTTCGGCTCGGTGTAGCTTGGTGGTCAAGGCTGAGAGGCTCGTGGGGTGTGCTGAGGATGATGTGTTTATGTGTGGTGGTGGCAGGATGTCAAGCAGTTGCTTACTTCAAGCGCTGAGACCCGGCAGGCTATGAAGCATCTTATAGACCGCTCGAGATGATGAAATGGCCCGCCATTGGCAGCCTAGAGTGTCAGAGTCTAGCCATAGCGGGCTTGTCCATTGTCCGCTGGGTGGGCATGTATGGGTACGAGGCGCTATTTTTTCCGAGGCGGATGCAAAGGCGCGACAAGAAAGAGGAGCGCGCTTCAAAGGTGAATTCTTTTTGGCAAAGTCATCATGGCTCCAGCCGCGGCAGATGGAAGGATGCCACTGGGGCGCAGTGCTAGGCCTTTGACGGGCAGTGACCACAAAGAACCATTGAACGAGGGTATTTGTTTTCTCTTGGGGCTCTGGAAGGCAAAGGGATGAAAGCAATGGGGTTCGAAAGGCTCAAAGGCCGGCGGCGGAGGCGAGACAAAGAAGCTCGGTGGATGCCTGGTTGCGTCCTTGGAACTTGGCTCGCCATATGCCACACGAGTGTGATTTCGATAAAGAGTCCCGGGTCAGCAATCTCAAAGAAGCGCCTTTCTTGGACGAAGAAAACGGAGCCGGCGATGGTGATGCATCGACGATGGTCGTGATTGAGCGATTGAGGCGGTCAAGCTGCCCTGTATATTTTGCACTGTATACCCGAAAAAGAATTGCTCGGCAGGCGACACGGAGTAAACATGTGCCTGTTCCGGCCCTTAAGCTGCTTGTAAGCAAGCGGAAAAATGTTGGCACGGCCCGAAAGCGGCATGCACTAGGCGCCGAGCGTGGGGGAAAAAAGAGGCCATCGAAGCCCTCTGCCAGCATCCCGACGACAGCTGTCCTCTCCCGCCATCACCAATCCAACTCCTCAAAATGGCCGGCCTCAACCCCCAAATGTGAGTCTCCGGGGCCCGTATCGCCTCAGGATAACGGCCTGTTCTTGGGCACGACCTGCTGACACGCCGGATCAGCACCAACCTCATCATCATCCTCGGCATGATGCAGGTGTCGAAGCGCATTCCCTTCGACGACCCCTCTGTCCTCATCGGCGTCCGCGGCATCTACATTGTCAGCAACGTCTTCATTGCCGCCGTCTACCTCTACATCCAGTCCCAGATCAACAAGAAGAAGGGTACTTGCCTGGATACTTCCCATGTCGCCCTCTCTCGCTGACCCCGACTTGCAGACATGACGACGCTCAAGTACGTCGAGCCACCGCCAATGGGCTCTGCCGAGGAGGGCAAGCTCGTCACCACGACCGTGCACGCCTACGACCTGCAACAGATTCGCACTGCCTTCCGTGGCCAGCTCATGGGCGTCGCCATGATGGGCTTCATGCACCTGTACATGAAGTACACCAACCCTCTGCTCATCCAGAGCATCATCCCCGTCAAGAGCGCCCTCGAGAGCAATCTCGTCAAGATCTACCTCTTCGGCCAGCCCGCCACCGGCGACCTCAAGCGACCCTTCAAGCAAGCCCAAGGTTTCATGAGCGCCATGCAGGGCGGCCAGGTCCAGAGCGACAAGAAGGCCATCGAAGCGGCCGAGAAGGCGGGTCGTGGCGGCGTCAAGGAGGAGTAAAAAGGAGATCAAATCTCTCGCGGCCGAGCACTTTGAGTTGCTCTCCTCGCTTCGGCCGCTTCTGGGCGCGCAGGGCATGACGGGGCTGGGAAAATGTTTGTTTAGATGTCCACGTTGGGCTACATGACAAGGCTGCGTTGGTCTTGCCGTGTGGCTCGCGTTGGCAATTAGCCCATGTACCATGTATGGATCGACATTTTGGCAATCGAGATGCCACAGGCCGCCCTGGTCTTCTCGGCGACTCGGCTCGACCTACGATGCCCGCTGCGCCTTCCCCGGGCTTTCAAGCCCCATCTTCGTCCCGTGTTGGAGCTGCAGCGCGTCAAATCATGATGCGTCCTTCCGGGCTCCACACTTCTAAACCTCGCTCACGGCAGAAACCTGAGGCTGAATTCCATGTCTTGCCATGGCAAGCAAGGCCAGACCAGCTGGCCTTATTACTACCGCCCCCGTAGCCGAAGTGGTCTTTGCCTTTTTTGCCACGTCTTCCGGGATTTCATCCTTAAAGGGGATCAAACGAGGTCGGTGAGGAACGGGCAATTTCTCGAGGTTGAGCGCCGAGTTTGAGCGCCTCGGCCCAGCTCTAGACGGGGAAATAGTAAAAGGTTTGCTGCGCAGCGGCGGGAACACGGCCTTCATGATCACCGGAGCAGAAGGGGTTTCTTTGGCTCCAAGTCGGTCGTTACCTTCTCTTTAAATGCTCACGTCTTCGTTTCCCCTTTCCGACAAAGTCTCTCACGTGGTTCCTGGGCTGGCTGAATGGCTGGCGTCAGCCATGTCCAGGGCGATGGATACACCCTCGAGTTTTTGAGATGACTCACGTACCGCGATTGTGTCGGATTTAGGAACCCGGCTGGAGCCTCTGTCTCTGCAGCTCGTGTCATGGCGGGTGCGAAGTCGCGTCTGCCCAATGGCACGGCATCCATTTGGTACCGCAGCAGCTCCCTTTTTTTTATATATCATTACTCGCATACAGCCTCTAGGGCCATAGCGAGGCTAATAGGGGCCTTGGTTCCTATTAGCAGTCCTAGCTAGCTATAGAGCCCGGGGGCTTATAACTAATTAGGGAAAGGGTAGCTATAAAGGTAAAGATAAAGGAAAGATTAGTCTAGTTCCTCCCGCGCGGTGTTTATCCTACCTAAGGGCCCTAGGGCCCTTAGGTTACTCCTTTTTAAGCTACTTAGCTATTCCTATCTCTATTTTAGCTAAGAAGGTTAGAAGGGCTTCCCTTCCTTTCTTAGAGCTATAGAGAAAAGGTAGGCTAAGAGCTTCTTTTTATCTCTTAGAGGCTTAATAAAGGACCTCTCTTTCCCTTCTATATTTTAAGTACTATAAGATAAGGTACCTAGCTATATACCTTCCTTAGCTATAGTATAGCTATCTTAGTCTACCTTATTAGTCCTTTTAAGGAAGGAAAATAATAAGCTAGCTTTAAAGAGGAGCTAGTAAAAAGCTAAGAGGGTTAGCTTAGGCTTCCTTATTAAGTCCTTTTTTAAGTTAAAGGCTAAGTAAGGGGTTATAGTAGCTTCTTAAAGCTATAGTAATAAGCTGTTTCTTTAATTGTATAATAATATTATTTATTAATAACTTCTTAGTAGTATAAAGTAATATTATTACTTATTATAACTTTAAAAATAGTATACTTTTTACTTTAGCTTATAATATTAAAAGATTTATTATTAATTAAATATAAAATATATTATTATACTAGACTTTAAAGCTTATAAATTGTTAGTAGCTAATAAGTTAGCTTACTAATTAAATCTATTAATAATATTTTTTATACTAACTTTTTAAAACTAAGCTTAAAATATAAAAAAAAGTATATACTTATAACCCTCTTAAATAGCTTATTATTATTGCGAAGCGTAGCTTAATTTATATTCTTAGAGATATCCCTTAGTAAGAGGGACCTAGGAAGCTAAAAACATTTAGTATAGAAGAAGGAAGAAGGAGCTAAAAGGAGGTATAGAGAAGAGGGTAGGGGTATAAGGGGAAGTAGAAGTAGCGATAGCTTCCTATAGAGGTAGTAAGAGATAAGACGGATATAACGGCAACGGCTAGAAAAGAGGGGAAGAACTAGTAAAAAGCCTGGTAGTTAAGAGGATATTAATAGCTTCTTTAAGTAGGATCTTCTTTATTAATTAAGATGCTAGATAGGTATAAAGAGGGGCGTTAGATAAAGGAAAGAAGGAGAATTAAGGTAATATAATAATTACTCCCTTACTATAATTACTACCCTTATAAGAATTAAATATCTTTGCCCTGCCTATCCGACCCCTTACTTTTAATTTTACCTTTATATATTTTATATATACTTCTTATATCTCTCTTTATAAGAGTTATAAGCCTAGGAGGAATAGAATTCCTATACCTTCTAGCTACTATAAAAGGCACCTTTCTTATATCCCTTATAGCTTTCTTTTACCCCTCTTACTAAAAAAGCCGATTATTAACCGACTTTTCTATACCCTCTTATATAATAATATCGAAAAACGACTCTACTATCCCTACGGTTTATAAGACGATTCTTATAGAGCCCTAAGATTAAGATAAGTAAGTAAAAGAGCTATAAGCTTATATAGATAGAACTATCTATAATTTAGTTTTCTTTAATAAGTAGGACCCTCTTAAGCCCCCTCTTTATCTTAGGGCAACGGAATCTATAGAGGGAGCTTCCCTCTTCTTTAAGCTAACCTCTATATAGTAAAGAGCTTTTTCTACTACCTTAGGTAACTACGAGAGTTACTATAAGGAGTACCTTTACGAGATAAAGCTACTAACTACTATACGTATAGCGATAATTTTAAGAAGGTATAAGTAATAAGCGTAGAGTCGGGTAATCGATAACGTAAGCGGAAAGATCGGTCGAAGGAGTATAGGGTAGGATTTCGTCCGGAATTTATAACGAGCATATAAGGGGCTGAATAATATATTAAAAGAATAGCGTTATAAAGGATACTTATAAACTTACTTATTCTATCTACTACGCCTAGGGAAATCCTTCGTCTTTTATAGACCATTGCTCGCCTACTAGTAGACCAATTAGTTAGCTTTCTAGCATATTCTATAGTGCTTAAAAAGCTCTATCTATAGCATGTCTTCCTAACTTAGTAGATGGTCTAATTGTAACGTGATGGTTAATATAAGACTATAGGTTCTAGTATAAGTAGTAGATTTAACTAGAATGTTCTATGCCCTACCTATTCTCGTATCGCGGATATTTTCGGAACCGCTAGGCCAAAATACGCAATAGGGTATCCGTTCTGCTTATAATTGACTTATGCATTTTATGTATATTTTATTTTATTAGGATAGGCTTATCTTAACCCGCTTTTCCTAAAGGAAGGTATAGATATCTAGTAGAGGTCTTTATCTTTAAGGGTTATTCCCTTAGACTATATTATAGAGCCTCTTTTTACTAGCTTATTTTATAGAGCCTCCCTATGCCTATTATTTCTTTATAATAGTAAAATAGGAATATAAGGGTATATTCTTATAATAATAGAATCCGTTAATACTATAAAGCTAATCTCTCTTTATAAAAAAGAGACTCCTAGGTAGTAGCTTTTAAAGCTTAAGACCTTAATAGCTCCCTTAAGGGGCTATATAACTATCTATATTAGAAAGACCTATATAGTATACCTAGGAGCCTTTTTTACTAGGAATCTACTAGCTTTTTTATAGCTAGCTAAGTAAGAAGAAATCCTTAAGGAAGCTAACTAATCCTCCTTAATAGAAGCTCTTTCTAGCTAGTAGCTATAGGATATATCTCTGCTAATAAAGCTTATTAGTAATAGTTACTTAACTATTTTTCGAGAAGCTAGCTAGGAACTAAATAAAGAGGCTACTAGAGTATAATAATAAGTAGTCTTATTCCTTCGTAGCTAGTATTTAACCTAGACGGCTCGACCTACTACCCTTATAGCTGCTATAGCCCCTACTACTACGGCCCTTGCTGCTACTATAGCTGCCCCTTTAGCTCCTCTTCCGTTAAGAGCCTTAACGCTGTCTTTAACTATAGCTGCTGCCCCGGCCCCGGCTATATCTATTACTCTAGGCCCGGCCCCGGCCCCGTTAGTCTATCCGGCCTAACTAGTCCCTTAATAGACCTTTTAGTCCGTTAGTTAAAAAATTAAGGAACTAGTCGAAATCGAACCTTATAATTAAAATTAATAATAAGGTATAAAAAGGGGGGGTTTTTAAGTAGACCTTCTAAACTAGGACGAGGATTCCTTAAAGAAATAAAAGATTAAACGAAACGGCTGCCTAGCCTATAAATCCCTAGGCTATAAGTTATTATAATACTAATAGGTCTTTAAGAAAAACTAACTTAAAGGATTTAACCCTTTAAAGAGGCTATAAGAAATAATATAATAGTCTCTTAAGGAGGACCCCTTATTATAGAAGAAGATAGATAAGATTTAGGTTACTAAGAAATAGTAACTAACGCCGCTACCTTTATTTAAGCTATAAGTTTAAGGAAAAATCGTTAGTATAATAAATCTAGCCTTTATCTTCCCTATAGATTAGTAAGACTACCTATTAAAACCCTTTAACTATCCCTTATAAAAATTAGCTATCCTTAACTCTAGTACTTTCCTTAATATCTATAATACCCTTTTATAATTCCGGTCCTTTAAGAAGGTATAGAGGGAATACCTTATTACTAGGGAATTAACCGTATAAATAGAGGGATATAGAAGGGTGAATTTTACGATAAAATTACTTTATAGGTCTATATAAATTCTTTAATAAAAAAGGGTAGTATTTTACCCTTAATCTTTAACGAGCTTAATTTCCTTCTACCTTCTTTAAAAGGAAGGAATCTTTTAAGATATAACGTCTAAGCCTATAAGACTATTATAAAGTAGGTAGAAGCGTATATATAGGTACCGTCTATAAGATAATATTAATAAGCTATATAGAGCTCTTTTATACGCGGCTAGCCCGCCCCTATATATATAGGATCCGGCCCTTTATATATATTATAGGCTACG